TATTCATTTACTGAATGATGGATATTTATATACCGAATCAAATTGTCATGCAGACGTCACCACGTTCGTCAGCGTCATGTACCGTTCCTCGTTGCTAGGACTACATTAACCTGCTCTCTGGTTTTTAGGGCCCGTACGAGAAATGTGGCGGTCCGCGCAATATCTACGGCAGGTGCGCGCGATCGTTGAAATGTTACAAACGCATCGACGACCCGCTCGCTGTGGGGATGTGCGTGCACCGCAGACGTAAGTCACGTAACGCCTACAGACGCAGACGCTACTACCGCTAGACACATCCGCCGGAAGAGACGTCATCGGGACGCGTTTTTCCACTAGACACATCCCGCGGCGTCATGGCGACGCGTTTTTCCACTAGACACATCCCGCGGCGTCATGGCGAAGCGGCTTTCCACTAGACACATCCCGCGGCGTCATGGCGAAGCGGCTTTCCACTAGACACATCCCGCGGCGTCATGGCGACGCGGCTTTCCACTAGACACATCCCGCGGCGTCATGACGACTCGTTTTTCCACTAGCGTCCCATTCTTACTAGGAAATCAGCGTAGAACTAGATTGTTGCTTTGCGAGTTGATGTTTGTTCATGATCATTACTTCGATGGTAATTAGAGGTATTCTGTTAATTCGTTACGCCTGTGTCTCTCACGAACTGTTATCTATGTGTGTTATTATCTTTATCTTTATGTTCAACGCACCACGATTTGTCTAGATACATTCGCCATCATGACGTCACTAACGTGCGTCACGTGACCACAGTGCGAATCACGCGATAACCGCGTGTCAGTGTAAATATGTACACGAACATACTCTATCGACTATTACTCATTGTTACGTCACGGATTTCGTAAATGATTTCTTTTTTACTTCATAATAAACGCGTTGTTATTTGCTAAACCAATATCTCTGTCATTATTGTTTCCATAGTGCACACAACGCGCTCTGAGCGTTACATGGTAACGATACAGGGACGTATTCGGTGTTACATGATACATCAGTAAACCCAGCACGACTGCTCTGAAATAGATATTGATTATCTTCGATAATCGGTCTNCTCTCTCTCTCTCTCTCTCTCTCCTCTCTCTCTCTCTCTCTCCCTCTCTCCTCTTCGTTCTCACCCCCTATCTCTCTCTCTTACTCCCTCCATTTATGCTTCTCTTTCCTTCGCTCTCTCCCCCATCTCTTCCTTTTCGTCCCTATCCTTTACCAATTTCTTTTCTCTCTCTCTCTCTCGCCTTCTCTGTCGCCCTCTCTATTTCTTCCGTCTCTCTTTCTCTCTCTCACCCATGCATCTCCGCGTGCCACCTGTGCGCCTCTCTGCACATATACCCTACTCACATCTCCTCCTCTCCGCACGCGCTCCCCGCCCATCGACAAGACAAGCGGTGTTATACTTACGTGTAGCCCGTTATAGTAAAGACGTTTATAATTATATGTTGAGCGTGAGTTGAACTGCGTGATTGACATGGCATACACCTCCAATAAATGGCAACAGTAATTCAAATAAAGTCCTGTCAAGAAAACGCGCCTGCGGGCTTGCGCGCGTGCGTGCTTGCGTACCTGCGTGCGTACGTGCGTGCGTGTATGCGGGTCACTGTACCAGCTTGACAACAGCATCAACAGACATGGCAATTGACAACAACAACATAATAATAATAATAGTAGTAGTAGTAGTAGNGTGTGTGTGTGTGTGTGTGTGTGTGTGTGTGTGTGTGTGTGTGTGTGTGTGTCGGTGTGTGCGTGTATATACCCACACTAACTCATAGCACACATTCCCAAACATCGCCCAAAATAGCTTCGCTGCTGCCGTGCTCAGCGTCTGAACAGCTGCGCTCTGCCTGCCAGCGGCCCGTCACTCCCGGCTAGGCTTCTCATCAGCTCTTCTCCTCCCTCGTCTGCTGTCGAGGGGGGATGCGGGCTGCTGGTACGGATGCTGCAGCACACGCCTTACACGCGAGCATGCCGGTAGCAGCTGTACTCACACTCGTTTGCTGCTGCTTGCGGCAGCAGTCGTGAACGACAAAGAGAAGGGGAACGTGGTAAATACACATTCACTCGTATCCTCATCATTAGTCGATCTATGTTAATTAGTCGTGTTTTCGTGTGTACGTGCAAGCGCGCGCGTACGTGTGTCCACGTGTGCTGGTGCCGCGCTGGGACCGGTTACCGATGATTGTCCTATCGAAGTGCACGACAATTCGTGCTTGCAGCGGTCACGCCAAGGACTTTACTGCTCTCGAAAGAAAGAAAGAGAGTTCAAGAGAGAAATCGAGAGTTCAACCAGAGCGCGGTGTGTGGCTCGCCATGGGCTACCATTAATGCAATGACATGTCGCCTAATGTGTTAGTGACGACCAGCCAGTGCGACGTGCAGTGACCATCTATGAATGCTGAAGAGCGTCAATTACTAACGTCGTAGAAGGAAAGACTGAGTAAGAGAAAACGACACGGAGCGATATTGCTGAGAGAGAAGGGGAGGGAGAGAGGGTGAGAACGATAGAGAGGGGTGAAGGAGTGAGCGATAGAAAAGGAGAAAGAGAGAAGGGGAGAAAGAGAGAGGGAGAGAGAGAGCGGGAGAGAGGGAGAGAGAGCGGGAGAGAGGGAGAGAGAGAACGAGAGAAAGAGAGCAAGAGAGAAAGAGAGCGGGGGTGAGAGATGGGGAGAGAGTGAAAAAGAGAGAAAGAGAGAGGGAGAAAGAGCGAAAGAAAGAAAGAGAGAGAGGGAGAGAGAGAGGGGGAGAAAGAGAGAAAGAGAGACAGATAGAGCGGTATAGAGGGGGGAGGGAAAGAGAGGGAGAAAGAAAGAGAGAAAGAGAGAGAGAGAGAGAGAGAGAGAGAGAGAGAGAGAGAGAGAGAGAGAGAGAAACGAAGACAACATGCACTTTTCACAGACGCTAACTGTGTTCGTTTGCTGGCTGCTCGCTGTAATCATACCACCAGGGGGTGTGGTTTGCACTATTCGTCACCATCGGGCCGTAGAGAGAAACGACATCGGCATGCTGTCATCGTCATCATCATCGTCATCATCGTTTATGACAGCAGACGACTGTCGCCTGCCATACGATGTCGGAGCAAGCAATGAACTGGTGTGTGCGCCAGCAGGTATAGCTATCTATATATACTCGTACTCTCTCTCTCCCCCTCTCTCTCTCTCTGTTCAATGTTAATGTTGTATTCTCTTCTTGAGTGTTTTCAGAGGATTTACCTTACGCTTCAGATGCCTAACCTCAATATGAATCTGTAGTAGCAACCGGAGAAGTAGGATGTAGCAACAGTGACTTTATTTCTTACTTTATATCGTTTATATACAAATACATTCATCACTGTCGGTCTATTGCTATATTCTGCTCTCTGCCTTCTCGCTATCCCTTTCTAGATGCCTTCTCTATCTGCTGTTTCCATCTCTCTCTCCTTCCCCCATCTCTCTCTCTCTCTCTCTCTCTCTCTCTCTCTCTCTCTCTCTCTCTCTCTACCTTTTGCTGTATCCAACTACAACTCTTACTATGTGTATTATTATTATGACGGCCGACTCTTATATCCGCCCCTGGAATCCCAGCGCTACGATAAACAATTACTACTACTACATTGTTGCCGGATTACCAGACATGGACAATGCTCCAAGATAACGACAAATCTGTTGTCACTATTAAATTGTCTACGTCACGAATTTTCTATGGTGTATTTTATAAAATTATTGTTGCCATTTTTTACATTAAAAGCAAGTACTAACGGGACTAAATGTATCGTCAAATTCTTACCTGATAAGATTGTTTAAGACTAGTTAAAAATCCAAAAAACCTGGACGATTTGATATTATGATCCTGACATTACTTGCTTGCTATGGGCTATGTATGAGTCACGAGTGTATATGTTTACATCGAACAATATAGTAAAATAGAAAGTATAATGCAGCAAGTTAACCATAAAAACGCGATTAGTGGGTGGCCATTAGACCTGTCGCGTCTAGCTCACCTATCTCAACCCATCATAGATTACAACCGCTGACAATTACCAGGTCGTGTCACCTGCTAATGCTCTCGCTCTCTCTTTCTCTCTCTCTCTCTCTCTCTCTCTCTCTCTCTCTCTCTCTCTCTCTC